CCTCAGAGCTAGTGGGCACACAGCAGGACTGCTGGCAGGGGAAGGAGGTGCAGCAAGCTGGTTGACAGCTAGACTGTTGGCAGCATGAAGAGGAATCCCCACAGCAGACAGGCACACAGCACACAGGCTTGCAGCAGGTGGGCACCCAGCAGGCCTGCTGGCAGGGGGAGGAGGTGCAGCAAGCTGGCTGGCAGCTAGACTGCTGGCAGTATGAGGGTGTGTAGGGGCTGGGCTCACAGGCCACCTGGCAGCAGGGGCTGGGCACACAGCTCACTGAGGTGCAGACCAGGGTTAGGCAGGGGGCCAGGGCACAGAAGCTGTGGGTGCAGCAGGGGGGCTGACAGCAGCTCTCTGGCAGTCGTCCACCTGCCAGGAGTCAGAGCAAGCAGTAGAGCAGATGGACATGGTGGATGTGGCCATGCTGGTGTGGGGAGCAGGTGAACTGGGGGAGATGTGACTGAATAGTGAGAGAGAGGGAGTGAGACAGTGTGAGAGGGTGTGTGTGGATTAGTGTGTCAGTGAGGGAGTGTGTGGGTGTGGTTATGTGGGTGTGGGCGAGTGTATCAGTGTGTCAATGTGTGAGTGTGGGTGAGTGTGTGGGTGAGTGTGTCTGAGTGTCAGGGTGTGTGGGTGTGTGTGGGTTAGTGAATGTATGCGGGTGAGGGATTGTAGGTGAGTGTGTGGGTGAGTCAGTGTGTATGGGTGTGTGAGTGAATGAGTGTGGAAGTGTTGGTGCCGTGAGTGAGTTGAGTGAGGGGGTGTGGGTGAGATTATGTGGGGGTGTGTGTGTGTGTCAGTGAGTGTGGGTGACTGAGTGGAGTGTGTCTGAGTGTGAGAGGGTGTGGGTGTGTGTGGGTTAGTGAATGTATGTGGATGAGGGATTGTAGGTGTGTGTGTCTGGGTGAGTCAGTGTGTATGGGTGTGTGAGTGAATGAGTGTGGAAGTGTTGGTGCTGTGAGTTGAGTGAGGGGGTGTGGGTGAGATTGATGTAGGTGAGTGTGTGTGTGGGTGTGTCAGTGATTGGGTGACTGAGAGTGCGAGTGGGTGAGAGTGTGAGTGGGTCTGAGAGTGGGTGAGGGTGTGAATGAGGGAGTGTGTCAATGAGAGTGCATGTGAGTGAGTGAATGAGTGTGAGGGTGAGTGACTGGGTTTGTGGGTCAGTGTGAGAGTGTGTGACAGTGTGAGGGTATGAGTGTGTGACTGAGTGTGTAAGAGTGTGAGTGTGGGTGTCAGAGTGTGACTGAGTGTGAGGGTGAATGTGTGACTGAGTGTGAGGGTGTGAGGGTGAGTGTGAGGGTATGAGTGTGGGTGTGGGGTGTGTGTTGGTGTGACTGTGTAGGTGTGAAAGGGTGTGAGAATGTGGGTGAGAGTGACCATGACTGAGGGTGTGTGATTGAGGGTGAGTGTGACAGTGTGTGTAGGTGTGGGTGTCAGTGTGTGAGTTTGAGGGTGTGAGAGAGACTGGGTGAGTGAATGTGTATGTATGAGTGTGTGTATGAGTGTGTGGGTAACAGAGTGTGTGAGGGTGTGTGATTATGAGGATGTGAGTGAGGGTGAGAGGGTGTGTGTGGGTTAGTGTGTGGATAAGTGTGAATGTGTGGGTATGTGTGCAAGTGTGAGTGTGAAGTATGAGTGTGTATCTGTGGGTGAGTAAGAAAGCATGTGTGGGTTCAGTGAGAGGTGAGAGGGTGAGAGTGTGTGGGTGAGTGTAACAGTGAGTGTGTGTGGGTAAGACAGTATGCATGGGTGACAGTGTGACAGTATGTGAGTATGGATGAGTGTGAGAGTGACTTTGAGGGTGAGGGTGAGAGTAGGTGAGTGACTGAGGGTTAGTGTGAGTGTTGGTGTGAGTGACTGAGGGTTAGTGTGTTGGTGTGAGTGACTGGGTGAGTGTGAGGGTGTGTTAGTGTGTGAATGAGGGTGTGAGGGTGTGTGAGGGTGAGGGTGTGTGATTGTGGGTGTGAATGAAAGGGTGAGAATGAGAATGTGTGTGTGGGTAAGAGTGTATTGGTGAGTGTGGGTGTGTGTATGAATGTGACTGAGGGTGAGGGTGACAGTGAAAGTGAGTGTGTTGGTGAGTGAGGTGTCAGTGTCAGTGAGTGTGAATGAGTTGGTGAGAGTATGGGTGAGTGTGAGAGGGTGTGTGAGTGAGGGTGAGTGTGAGGGTGTGAATGTAGATGAGTGAATGTGAATGAATGAGTGTGAGTGAAGGTATGAGTGTGAGTGATTGTAGGTAAGTGTGAGGGTGTGAGTGAGGGTAAGAGGGTGATTGTGATAAGGTAGAGGGTGAGGGTGTGAGTGTAGGTGAGTGTGAGTGTGATTCTGAGGGTACGAGTGTGAGTGGGTGAGAGTGACTGAGGGTGGGTGTGAGTGTGAGGGTGAATGAGCGAGGGTGTGTGAGGGTGTGGGTGACTGAGGGTAAGAGTGAGGATGTGACAGGGTAAGAGAGGGTGAGGGTGTGTGAATGAGGGTGAGTGTGAGTGTTAGGGTGAGAGTGAGGATGAGTGAAGGTGAGTGTGAGTGTGTGAATGATGGTGAGTGTGTGAGGGTAAATGTGAGTGTTGGTGTGTTTGTGGGTATGAGTCAGTGTGTGTATAGTTGAGTGTGAGTGAGGGTAAGAGTGAGGGTAAGGGTGAGAGAGTGAGGGTGAGGGTGTGAGTGTGTGGGTGAGTGTGACAGGGTGAGTGTGAGGGTGTGAGTGAGGGTAAGAGTGAGGAGAGTGAGGGTGAGGGTGTGTCGAGTGAGGATGAGTGAGGGCAAGAGGGTGTGAGGAAGAGTGAGGGTGAGGGTGTGAGTGAGGGTGTGTGAGGGCATGTGAGGGTGAAGAGTGAGGGTGAGGGTGAGTGTGAGAGTGAGGATGAGTGAGGGTGAAGGTGAGTGTGTCAGGGTGAGGGTGAGGGTGAATGTGAGGGTTAGAGGGTGAATGTGAATGAGTGTGAATGTGAGTGAGGGTGAGGTTGGTGTGTGAATGTGACTGAGGGTGTGTGGGCGAGGGTGTGAAGGTGTGAGTGTGTGAGGATGAGTGAGGGTGAAGGTGAGTGTGTCAGGGTGAGGCTGAGTGTGAGGGTGTGAGGGTTAGAGGGTGAGAGTTATGAGAGGATGAGGGTGAGTGTGAGGGTGACTGTGAGGGTGAGGGTTAGAGGGTGTGAGTGTGACTGCCAGTGAGTGAGGGTGAGTGGGTGTGAGGTGAGTGTGAGGGTATGAGACTGGGTGTGTGAGGATGAGTGAGGGTGAGAGTGTGTGTGAATGAGTGAGGGTGAGAGGGTGAGTGTGAGGATGAGTGAGGTGAGGGTCAATGTGTGAGAAAGGGTGAGGGTGTGTGAGTGAGGGTGAGTGTGAGTGACAGTATGGGTGTGTGGGTGTCCGTGACTGGGTGAGAGGGTATGAGTGTTAGGGTGTGTTGGTGAGTGTGAGTGACTGTGAGGGTGAGTCAGAGTGGATGTGTGAGTGTGTGTGGGTGACAGTGTCAGTGAGTGTGTGGGTATCAGTGTGAGGGTGTGAGGGTGAGGGTGTGCGTGGATGTGTGTGACTGTGTGGGTGAGTGTGTGTTAGTGTGAATGAGTGTGGATGTGTGTCAGTGTGTGGGTAAGTGTGGGTGTCAGTGAATGTGAGTGGGTGTGAGTAAGGGTGTGTGAGAGTGAGTGTGAGTGTGGGTGTCAGCGAATGTGAGTTAGCAGGTGAATGGGTCAGTGAATGAGTGTGGGTGTGTGTGAGTGTGAGGGAATGTGGGTGTGTGTGTGAATGCGGGAGTGGGTGGGTGTGTGGGTGTGGGTGAGTGAGGGAGTGGGTGACTCAGGGTGTGAGTGGGTGAGGGAGTGGATGAGTGTTAGTGTAGGGAGGGTGTGTAAATGAGTGTGGGTGAGTGTGAGTGTTAGTGTGGGTGTGAGTAAATGTGGGTTTCAGTGTGTGTGGGTGTGTGTGGGCGAGTATGGGTGAGTGGGTCAATGAGTGTGTGTGTGAGTGAAAGTGTGAGAGTGGGTGGGTGCGTGAGTGTGTGAGCAAGCGAGTGGGTGGGTGGATGAGTGAGTGAGTGTGTGAGGTGCTTGGGGCTCTCAGGCTTTTATATCCCTCCTGGTCTTGTTGTCCTGGGGCCCCCGGCCTCCCCTTCCTTGTGCTGAGAGGCAGTGTCTGTCATGATTAGGGATGTGTATCTGCTGGTGACATTGCCCACCTTATAAATCTTTTGTCACACTGGGCTGTTGCCTGTCCCATGTGGAACCTCGGGAGCAGGAGTGGGGGTGGGCCTGGTCCCAGCTGCGTTCTGGAGGCGAGGTGGGCTGGGCGTGTTGGGCGGGTGGGATGTGGGTGGGATGTGCTGGGGCATCATCATCCAGCCACTGGCCCCAGCATCCCCGGGACATGGGCTCCCTCTGCAGGAAGCCAGCCCTCAGGAAGGATTTCCTGTGGTGCAAACTCCTCGTCTAGCGTGGTCCTTTCCCCGCTGCAGGACACAGGACTGTGGCCCATTTCTGTTCCCCATGGCCTCTGTGCCTCCTGCTCTATGTCCCATGCCCACCTTATCCTTTGCCTGGGAGGTAGCAGGACTCTGTTCTGGGACAAGGATCGTGGTCTCAGCCCGCTCCCTGCTCAGGCGCAATGTCAGCATCCTGGGCGGTTGTTTCGGGTTCTGAGCCTGTGGAGTGGGTGTGCTAGGCAGTAGGTGGCCACCCGCCCTCATCACTACTGGAGCCCTCTCCTCCGTGTGCCAAGCACTGCAAGCATCTTTTTCTCAGCAACCCTGCCCAGCAGCCTCATCACACACCCCCAGGTCGGCTACAGGCAACTGTCACTGCACCATGATCTTTGATGGTGAATTTTAGTCACCACAGGGCAGAGTGAAGTCCCAAGCTTCTTACCTGATGAAATGGCCCTGATCACTTTTCAGAAACATTGCTACCCACTAGCTGTAGTATTGATTGTGATTTCACATTTTTATTTAAAAATTCAAATACACATATGCATATTTCATTATAAAATAAGACATATCACAGGATGTTGAGTAGAACGTCTTTGTTGGTCTGAATCTGGCAATGCTGGAAACTACTTCTCATTCTAAAAATAGTGCTAATCTTCTGGGTCAGATCCGTCCCCACAGGGCTTTCTAAAATAAGACAGAAGTGGACCACCTATGACCAGCTGCCACCACCCCGCCAGTTCAGCCCCAGTTGTAAGAAGGGGGCTGTGGAGGCTGGGGTGATCCTTCAGCCTTAAGCAAAGTGTGGCATCCCAAGCGAGAGCTGTCCCACTCACGATGATGGGGGCATCTCCTCCCTAAAGCCGGTCCTCACAGAAGAGGCAGGAGCAGCGGGTAGAAGATGGGAGCACTGGAGCACCTGGAGAGAAGGGGCAGCAGTGGCCAGTGAGCCCCACAGTGGTGGCCCTGCACATTCCTTCCCTGTCCCTGTCACTGGAGGAGTTAGAGCTCAAAACAGGGAGAGGAGGAGCAAGGAAGGAGAGGCCACGTCCCTCCCCACGGCCTGCCCGGAGGCCCACTCAGACTTGTGTGTGGGAACGCTGGGGATAGGACTGGGTTTCAGATAGAAAAGAAGAGATTTGAACTGGTTCATTTTGGGCTATGGATTTGGTTCTGCTCTTAAAGACCATAGTGTTGGAGTGTGCTTTAAAAATAGTTCAAGTCTCATTATCAATATTTCTTTTTGTAAAAAAAAGTTTGTAGAGACCTGAGTCTTGCTAGGTCACCCAGCTGGTCTTGAACTCCTGGGCTCAAGGGATCCTCCTGCCTCAGTCTCCCAAATGGCTGGGACTGCAGATTGAGCCGCCGTGCCTGGCCATCATCAGTGTTTCTGTGCCAAGGGTCCTACCTTTTCTTACTCATTGTCTTCGCTGTTCTCAGTTCCCATCCTCCAAACTCAAGCTTCACGTAGGCAGGACGTGTTTGTTTTCTTCACTACTCAATCCCAGAGGGGCTAAAATAGTGCCTGGAATAGGGAAGATCCTCCATAAAAATGGGCTGAAATAGTAAACATTTTGGGGGAAGAGTAATTTGGAGCTCTGAAAATGATTCCATTGTGCCGCCGTTTTCTTAGGCTGTGTAAAACTCTCTCAAGTTCTGCTTCTGTGTGTGGGAAGCTTGCATCACACTGGCCATTTAGCTGAGAAAAATTAGGAAAACTGGTTTAACAAACAAAATCTCTATTTGAAGGCGCCGGGAGGCACCAAGACAGATGAAACTTGAGTGAGTGAATCTCTAGTAGAGGGAAAGTACGTGGAAGTGAGCCCAAGATTTCTTGTGGATTTTCTTATTGAGGCATTTACTGATTCACAGACTGTAGCCATGAGACTGAGGTTGAAGCTGAGCACAGCTTTTTGTAGTCTCATGAAATTAGAAGAAAAAAAACACAGAGTTCAGGACCTGACAAGGTGGAGGGATTCTGGTTTAAAAAAAAACCCGCAGGCTTTCAGTTGGAAACGCTGAATATAAGTGAAGGGCTACTCCCTAGGAGGAAGGAACAACCAGAAAGAACGCAGCCCATCTTTAAATCGGCTCGTATTGAGCTCATGTGGTGTGTCCGCAGCCTAACTGCCCCCCGGAAGCAAAAGCGATCTCCTCTGCAGACAGCAGCAGCAACAGAGGCTCAAATAATCCGACAAATTGTCATAAAGTCCAACATTCAGTCAAAAATGACTAGGGGTGCTAGAGAACAAGACCAAAGGACCAAGAGGAAAATACCAACAAGAGAAACAGATACGTGGGGCTTTTAGATATTAGAATTGTCAAACTGGAATTCAGAGTAATGCCAATTAGCTTGCTCAAGAAAACAGAGGACAAATGGAGAATTTCAGTGTCAAACTGGATTTTTAAAATGGAATCAAACAGAAATCCTGGAAATGACCGCACTAGCTGAAATTGAGAACTAAGTAGATTATCTAAACAACATTAGACAAAACCAAAGAGAACGTTAGTGAAGGGAGCTGAAGAACTGCCAAGCTTGAGTACAGAGTCAGGCAAGAAAAGAGGGAAATAAAGTGGAGTGATAGCATATCCTTATGTTGTAAATAATTATGAATATAAATGGTTGAAAGCACAGAAGATGAGTAAAATAGGCTCGTAAAATATGTGAAGGTATAATAGACAAGAACTTTGAAGTGATTTGAAAGACATTAACCCATAGATGCAAAAGCATTTAAGAATCTTTAGCAAGGTGAATACAAAGGAAACCACACCTGGGCATGTTGGGGCGGAAATTCAAAGACAGAGAAAAATTTTAAAACAGCCAGAGTGGGTGGACGGGGGGATAAATTTTACCTTTAGAGAAGCAACAATAACATGTACAGATGACTTCTCCGTGGAAATGATGGAATCAGAGGACGATGGAATGACATATTTACTGTCTGAAAGAAAAGAAGCATCAAACTAGAATTCTACACCTGGGAAGAAGATCCTCAAAAAAAGACAACAGAAAATGATGTTCTCTGAACACTGAGAGAATGTGTCACCAGCAGTATCTGCACTAAAGAAAATGAAAAGATAATTAGGCAGAATGAAGATGGTCACAGATGGAAGCAAGAAGTCGATAAGGAAATGAAGTGTAACATTTCATTTACAGGAGGACACACATGGGAAAATCGAAATGAATATTTACTGTATAAGATATCTTGAAGTCATAAAATATTTATAGAAATAAAGTACATGGCAAAAATCACAAAATTCAGGAGGGGGCCACAAGGAGTTAAAGTGGTCTTGGTACACTGTGATGTCTGGGAAATAATTTAAGATTGAATTTATGTTAGACTTTAAAAAGCCCTGGATTCATGTTATAATCTCCACCAGAGTAATAAAAGAATACACAATTCAGGAGGAGGAAGATGAGTATAGTGGTCGAATCATGCCTCCCCAAAAGTCATATCCACCCCGAAAGGAATGGTGCTTCCTGGCCATTCTCCTGGCCTGTGGCTGGCCCCTCCCCAGTAGGGCCATCATGTCCCAGGTTGCACCCATGTGGCCTCCTGGGCAGCACATAGCATTCCTCAGTTGCTCTCACTAGAAGCCAATACTTTAGGTCCCCACTTCCTAAAGTCTGGAAAATTATGAAAGCCTAATAAGACAAGCTGAGAAATTTAAGACTGGTATTATTTCTCTCCCAGATGTTTGGGAACATTATGCAGTGAAGGTATTTGGGTCTGTAGGTGGCTCTGTAGGAAAGTTTTTAATTTTAGATTCAAGTTATTTAATATGGTACAAATTATATCTTGACAAATATAGACAGTTGTGTCTCCACCAACAAATGTATTGTTTGTACTCAACAAAGTAGATACCAAGATGTAATGGAAAAACTCCTATAAACACACAAACCACCAACATAGCTACCTTTGCTGTTGATCTTTCTTCCTTCCTATTGCTTCAGGTTACTATCTAGTGCCCTTTTATTTCAGCCTGAATTAGCATTTCTTGCAGGTAATGCTGAACACTCTCAGGTTTTATTTACCTTAAAATGTGTTACTTCTTCACTTTTGAAGGATAATCTTGCCAGATGCAGATGTCCTTTTTCTTCCTGGGTGCTCCCTGCCCCTGGCCCCCCACCTAGCATGTTACATATGTCATCCCAATGCCTTCTGGCCTCCATGGTTTCTGATGAGAAATCTGCTGTTAGTCTTCTGTCCAGCTGCTTTCTAGATTCTTTGTTTTGACTTTTGAGAGTTTGATTATATTATACTATGTTTTTGTGTGAATCTCTTTGAGTTAGACTGATGTGTTTCCTCAGTTTTGGAAGTTTGGGCCATTATTTCTTTAACTATATTTTTCTGCTCCCTCTGTCTCCCCTTCATCGGGAAATTCTGCTAAGTATGTTGGTATGCTCGATGGTGTCCCACAGGTCTCTTCAGATTTGTTCATTTTTCTTCATTCTCTCACCTACTCCTCAGACTAGAATACTTTAGTGGATCTATCTTTGCATTCACTACTTATAGCTGCTAAAATCTGCTGTCGCAACCATATCATGAGTTATTTATTTCGGTGATTGTACTTTCCAATTCCAGAACTTCTATTTAATTTATTTTTAAAATTCCTTCTCTTTATCGATATTCTCTATTTGGTGACGCATCATTCTCCTGGTTTACTTTACTTCTTTGTCTGTGATTTTATTTAGTTTTTTGAACTTGTTTAAGGGAGTTGATTGAAAGGCTTTGTCTAGTAAGTCCAATTCTGGGCTTCCTCAGGAAGATTTTCTATTAATTGCTTTCCCCTCATTTGTAGCTCCTATTTCTTGCTGCTTTGCATGGCATATGCTTCTGGTGAAAACTGGACAGTGACTATTACAATGGGAGATTTCCGGGTGTGAGGTTCTCCTCCCTCTGCACAGTCTGCTGTTGCTGATTGCTGTAGATTGTGGTTGTTTCTGTTTGTTTATGTCACTTTAAAAAAATAGTTTCCTTACCATGTGTGCTCATGTTCTATTAGCTTAGGGTTCAGATAGTAATTTGACAGAGATCCTTAAACTCCTGGAATGAAGAAATACATTTCTGCCAGGTTTGTAGCTGGGCTCTGTATGTTGGTCCACACCCTCAGTACTCAGCTGGGGAGTTTGTGACTCTGCCTTCCCCTTCACTTCCTGCTTGCTCCTTCACTTCCTGTTGCACCTTCACTTCCTGTTGTACCTTCACTTCCTGTTGCACCTTCACTTCCTGTTGCACCTTCACTTCCTGCTTGCTCCTTCACTTCCTGTTGCACCTTCACTTCCTGTTGTTCCTTCACTTCCGGTTGTACCTTCACTTCCTGCTTGCTCCTTCACTTCCTGTTGCACCTTCACTTCCTGTTGCTCCTTCACTTCCTGTTGCTCCTTCACTTCCTGTTGCACCTTCACTTCCTGCTTGCTCAGAGCCTGAAGTTCAGCCAGAGCTGAGCACTGAGAGCTTCTTAGGGTTTTCTGAGCCTCTGCCCCATCATGGACATGCACTGGGGCCTTCTGGACTATCTCCCAACACCCTTATTCCTCAAAGCATGTCATCTCCCAGCTTTTCCTCCCAGACATTTTGGGCATGTCCAGTGTTTTCCCAACTGATAATTTTTGACCTAGGTGTTAGTGACTTGTTCATTTATCTTCAAACGTTCAGACACACACCCTCCATGTAGCTGCTCCTCTGCCTTGAGAGAGTCTGAGTTGGTGACATAAGGCCAAGCCCTGTGTTTTAACCCTTCAGGGAGCTGCCAGATGGGTTGAAATGAACAGCTGCACTGCCTTGCAAACAAGGTCCCCTCTGCTTCCCTGGCAGCAGCACCCCACACCAGGAACTCTGGCTGCTGTCTTCCTGACTGTCACCCCACTGGGGATGGGGGATAGGGCAAGGGGAAGTTAAAATCCATCAGGTTTTCCTGTTGGATTCTGTTGCTTTTAGTTGATTATGTGTTCCCTTGCTTGCTGCAAACCTTCGACTATTTTCCAGAGTTCAGTTAAAGTTGATTTTACCAGGTAGTGTTTGTTTTGTGTATTCCTTCTTTTTCACACTGCTATAAGATACTATCCAAGAGCTTTGATTGACTCACAGTTCCGCATGGCTGAGGAGGACTTAGGAAACTTTCAATCATGGTGAAAGGCAATGAGGAAGCAAGGACCTTCTTCACATGGTGGTAGAGAGAGAAGCAAGGGAAAGCAGGGAGAACTGTTTTATAAAACCATCATATCTGGTGAGAACTCACTCACTGTCACGAGAACAGCATGGGGGAAACCATCTCCATCACTTCCCACCACCTCTCTTCCTCAACACCTGCTCAAGATGAGATTTGGGTGGGGACACAAAGTCCAACCATATCAGTTTGTTTTGCCAGTTTCTGACATTCCGTGGAGGAAGAGGCCCTTACAGTTCCCCGCTGCACCATTTCCTCTGTGGTTGCTCTTAGCAGGCACAGTTCGGACAACATTTTTGACGGTATTTCTAAACATCTCTATGAATTCATAATCTGCAAATACTCCAGCTTACAAGTGCCACTCCTGGGAATTTAGGCAAACACGTACCGGAGTGTGGAAAGGTATATGGTAGGAACACCCACAGAGGCATTGTTTGTAGTAATGAGCAGCTGGAGAGACATTCGATGCCATCCCCCTGCTGCTGCTGTGTACATCAGGTGCAGCGGGTCCACACTTTGGAATGCCGTGCACCTTGCTGAAGGAAACTGTAAGACATTTTTCTTTATCAAATTGGCCAAGAGAGAATAGTGTGGCCCCCATGTTGTGACTGTACAGCTGTTGAGAAGTAAAGACTGAGGACCTCTTGTGGGCAACGTGGTGACGGTCACACCTCGCCAGCATCCCCTGCCTGCAGTTGCATTTCTAGGAGTCTCGTCTCAGATTTGCTCAATCCTGTTTGAAAGCACGTCTGGCTATATCTGGACCTGTGTGTCCATGTGTTTCTCTCGCCCTCTGGTCTGCATGTGCTCCCACGCGGTCCCGGCTTCCTCTGCCACTGGGGTCTTCCTGTTCCCACCCACCCTCCATCCCCCCCAGCCCAGCACAGGGAGCTCGGGAGAGCCTCGTTTGGCATCCTGAGCAGGCTGGGCTTTCTTCTGCATCCTGCGCACCTGTGCTTCTGTGTGTGCCTGACTCCGGTGAGCACACAGCGTTAGTCCAGGGCCCCCTGGTGCAGCTGACTCCATTCACCTCCATGCCCTCGTGGATGGATATTTCAGTTGTTTCATGGTAACAGACAGTGCTTCTTACGTACATGTGCCAGAGATTTTCCACAACTGCAGGGTGGGCTCATCCAGGTGGGACAGTGGGTGCAACGGTCCTGGGATCTGGAGAGCCCCACGGCCAGGGCACGGCAGCAAATGACCAGGCTCAGGAAGTCTTGGGCACTGGGACTGAGCAGGGACTGAGCCTTCCTGGGCATGGCCATGAGTCCCACCTGGTGACCCCCTGGAGGAGTTAGGCCACTCCCCTCTGACTTCTAGGTTGAGTCACTCATTCCTAGAAACAGTCATGGCTGGAGGAGACTGATGTCAGCTCAAACCATGTGTCCCCCAACCAGGAGCACACAAGAAAAGAGAATCAGGTGACCAAGGAGAATTTATTGGGAGCAGGAGGAGGTGCTGACAGGCTCAAGTTGAGGCCAAATGACCCGGGGCAGAGAAGCTGGGAGGACGGGGCCCAGCAGGCAGGTGGGCAAGTGCTAGGAGGCAGGAGCTGGGGAGCAGTGAGGATGGGAGCAAGGAGGGTGGTAACCTCAGCACAGTGGAGACATGGGGACCCTGTCCCCAGGTGGGGGCAGCCACCTAAGCCAGATCAAGACCTGAGCCTGGCTGGCCCTGGGGGAAGTGCCCGGCAGCAGCTGGACTCCTGGGCTGAGCAGAGGCCTCAACAGGCTGGGCAGGAGCATGCGGGGCGGCAGAGGAGGGACACACAGGAGGCCGGACGGCAGCAGCAGGTGGGCTGGCAGGAGGCGGGGGCACAGCAGGCAGGCCTGCACACAGGGCGGCAGAGGAGGGACACAGAGGAGGAAGGTCTGCAGCAGGAGGTGCTGCAGCAAGCCGGCTGGCAGCTGGACTGCTGGCAGCATGAAGAAGAAGACTCAGAGCAGATGGGCACACTGCAGCAGACAGGCTTGCAGCAGACAGGCTTGCAACAGACGGGCACACAGCAGGCCTGCTGGCAGGGGGAGGAGGTGCAGCAAGCCAGCTGGCAGCTGGACTGCTGGCAGCATGAAGAGGAAGAGTCAGAGCAGGTGGGCACACAGCAGACAGGCTTGCAGCACACAGGCTTGCAGCAGATGGGCACACAGCACACAGGCTTGCAGCAGACAGGCTTGCAGCAGACGGGCACACAGCAGGCCTGCTGGCAGGGGGAGGAGGTACAGCAAGCCAGCTGGCAGCTGGACTGCTGGCAGCATGAAGAGGAAGACTCAGAGCAGGTGGGCACACAGCAGACAGGCTTGCAGCAGATAGACTTGCAGCAGACGGGCACACAGCAGGCCTGCCGGCACGGGGAGGAGGTACAGCAAGCCAGCTGGCAGCTAGACTGCTGGCAGCATGAGGGTATGCAGGAGCTGGTGCAGCTTGACTGGCAGGGGCTGAGCTCACAGCTCACTGGGGCACAGACCAGGGCCAGGTAGGGGGCTGGGGCACAGCAGCTGGGGGTAGAGCAGGGGGGCTCACAGCAGCTCTCCTGGCAGTTGTCCACCTGCCTAGAGGAGCTGGTGCAGGTGATTGGGGAGGAGACTCGGCTGACACAGCCCAGGTCATTGGAGCAGACAGACGTGGTGGATGCAGCAATCACATACGTCCTGGTGCAGCAGGTGTCAGCCATGGTGGGTGCTGGGCTGGGCAGTGTGAGTGTTGGTGTGAGGTGTGTGGGTTTGTGTGCCCTGGCTGCTGAGGTTTTATACTCTCCCTTGGTATTTTCCTCACAGGTGTCTCACAAGCCTTCCCTTTCCTTGTTGTGGCTGAGACTTTGCGTCCAAGCAACGCTAATTAGTTTACTTGTTGTGATATTGTGGTCCCAGGACTGCTGTGTGTGATTGAGTGATGCTAGCCACTTGCTGGTCACACCTGCAAACACACACAGCAATGCTGCATGTCTGCTGGTGGAGCTGAGAGTTGAACAGATCATGAGTTGGTGACTCTGGAAAACCCAGCCCCACTTTCCTCTTCTCTTTTCCTGTGTATCTTTACTATTGGGATGTTTGGTACCAGGGGCGGGGCGTTTTGTACCAGCAGATGCTCTCTACCTGTCCCAGAGTCCTGCTCCACTGAACAATGGGTGTCTTGACTGGCAATGCCCCCAGCTCCCTGCTCTGCCACCCCTTCCTGCTCCATCTGCAGACTCTGCTTGGATGCCCCTGCATTAGTCCATTTTCACACTGCTGGTAAAGACATACTTAAGACCAGGAAGAAAAAGGGTTTTACTTGGACTTAACAGTTCCACATGGCTGAGGGAGCCTCAGAATCTTGGTGGGAGGTGAGGGGCACTTCTTACACGGTGGCAGCAAGAGAAAATGAGGAAGAAGCAAAAGCAGAAACCCCTGATAAACCCATCAGATCTCATGAGACTTATTCACTGCCACAAGGATGGCATGGGGAAGATCAGTCCCCATGATTCAGTTACCTCTCCCTGGGCCCCCCCCCCCACAACAGCTGGGAATTCTGGGAGATGCAATTCAAGTTGAGATTTAGGTGGGGACACAGCCAAATCATATCATTCTGCTCCTGGCCCCTCCAATATCATGTTATCTCATTTCAAAACCAATCATGCCTTCCCAGCATTCTCCCAATGTCTTAACTCATTTTAGCATTAACCCAAAAGTCCACAGTCCAAGTCTTATCTGAGTCAAGGCAAGTCCCTTCCACCTACGAACCTGTAAAATCAAAAACAAGCTAGTTTCTTCCTAGATACAGTGGGGGTACAGGTATTGGGTAAATACAGCCATTCCAAATGGTAGAAATTGGCCAAAATAAAAGGGGTTACAGGGCCTATGTGAGTCCAAAATCCCCTAGGACAGTAAAGTTTTAAAGCTCCAAAATGATCTCTTTTGACTCCAGATGTCACATCCAGGTTATGCTGATGCAACAGGTGGGTTCCCATGGCCTTTTGCAGCTCCGCCCCTGTGACTTTGCAGGGTGCAGCCTCCCTCCCAGCTGCTTTCACAGGCTGGCATTGCGGGCATGTGGTTTTTCAAGGCACACAGTGCAAGGTTTCAGTACACAGCTCCACTAGGAAGTGCCCCAGTAGGGACTCTGTGTGAGGGCTCCAACCCCGCATTTCCCTTATGCACTGCCCTAGCAGAGGTTCTCCATGAGGGCCCCGCTCCTGCAGCAAACTTCTGCCTGGGCATCCAAGCATTTCCATACATCTTTTCAAATCTAGGCAGAGGTTCCCAAACCTCAGTTCTTGACTTCTGTGCACCTTCAGGCTCAATATAACATGGAAGCTGCCAAGGCATGGGGCTTGCACCCTCTGAAGCCACAGTCTGACCTATATGTTGGCCCCTTTCAGTCACAGCTGAAGTGGCTGGGACACAGGGCACCAATTCCCAGGCTGTACATAGCATGGGGATCCTGGGCCCACGAAACCACTTTTTCCTCCTAGGCCTCTGGGCCTGTGATGAGAGGGGCTGCCATGACCGTCTCTGACATGGCCTGGAGACATTTTCCCCATGGTCTTGGGGATTAACATTAGGCTCCTTGCTACTTAAGCAAATTTCTCCGTCCAGTCTGAATTTGTCCCTAGAAAATGAGTTTTTATTTTCTATCACATAGTCAGGCTGCAAATTTTCCAAACCTTTGTGGTCTTCTTCTCTTATAAAACTGAATACCTTTAACATGCCCCTCTCCCTGTCAATTGAACAGACTGTGCATCTCTCCCAAGGTCCATGATCTTCTTAGTTCCCCTGTTTATCTCGCAATTATTAAAAAACATACATGCTCTGTTATTTCTTGTATTTTCAATTTCAGATATTTGATTCCCTATTGTGGAGGAAAGTACTTTCTCTTGTTTATCACCAGCTCCATGAAAAGTTCCCCTCTTCCCATCCTCAGGAGGCAAAGGCAGTAAAATATCAATGTTTGGTTACATCAGAGTTCAGAATGTGTATTATAATAAAGTAAATATTGTTCATAGCCAAGTCTGAATAGTGGAGTCAGATTTAATTTTCTTATTTGTACATGTTTTGTTTTTGTTTATGTTTTTTTCCTCTTAGAGTTAACAATTGCTCCTCCCCAAACTCTGACTCATTCATCCCCATGCTCCACTCAAGAGGCCCAAACATAACAATCTATTAGCTTCATTGATTTTTTGGGAAAAATTTCTCTTAGAGCTCTCTTATTTGTGGGCCAGCCTCTATTGGCTGCTCCCTCAGCCTGGTACACAGGTTTCCCGGGATCTCCCTTCACTCTTGTCTTTGGATTTTCCTTCATCTCTCTCTCATGATGGATCTGTTACTTTCTAGATGCCTTGTCTTTTTCTTTCTAGATTTATGGCCTTGTTTTGGTGGAGCACATTCTCCAGTAACTTTCTGAAAATGGGTGCAAGGAATATATATTTTTGAGCCATAGCAGGATTAAAAATGCCATTATTCTGCTCTTCTATTTGATTGATAGTTTAGCTGGATATAATCTTCTGAGTGGAAATGTTTCCCCTTAGAATATTTTGGGGAAGATATGGAGCATTTCCAGAATCCTAAATGATCCCTTGTGCTGTCTCTCTTTTAGCCCCTCCTCCCTAAGTATTAGTTGCTGTTCCACCTTCTCTCCCCACTGGTCAGCTTTGCCTGTTCTGTGGAACTCTTTTGTTTCTAGTTCCTTTGGTTCAGCACATTTGCTCTTGTAGTGAAAATGCAGCTTCTATGTGGGCACGGGACTGCCATAAGAAGGGCATGCCTATAGACTCCAGTATGATTCGGAAGAACACAAAGTCATTATAAGGAAGGGGAAAGATCTAGAGCTGGAATTTAATGCCAGCAAAGGATGGTTTGATAATTTTAGAAAGAGGTTTGGCTTAAAAAGTATCAAGATAACAGGAGAAGCAGCTTCTGCCAACAAAGAAACAGAAGACAAGTTCCCAGAAGCCGTGAAGAAAAACACTGGGGAGAAAAGACATGTGTCTGAGAGGGATTTTAATGCAGATGGAAGCATCCTATTCTGGAATAATAATGCACAAAGGATTATTAATGGCAAGGAAGAGCAGTGAGCACTGGGCTGTGGGGCAGGAAGGGATAGGTGAACTCTTCTGTTCTGTGCAGATGTATATCAGGTTCACAAGCATGCTCTCCTTGTGTATAAAGCTGCCAACCCTCCGGCCTTGAAGGGAAAAGACAGACATCAGCTGCTGCCAGTCTTATGGCTGAACATCAAGAAGGCCTGGACCACAAAAACCCTTTTTCTAGATTAGTTCCTTTGGTGCATTGCCTGTGAAGTCAGAAAGTATCTTGCCAATAAGGGATGTCTTTTAAAGTGATTTTAATATGGGACAATGCCCCTGGCCACCCGGAACCCCATGAGTTTAACACCAAAGGTGTCAGAGTGGTTTACTATCCTCCAAACACACGTCTCTAACTCAGCCTCTAGAGCAGGGGGTCCTAGGGACCTTTGAGACTAATGACACCTGGCACTCTCTGGAAGAGACTGTCAATGCTGTGGGCGAGAAGCCTGATCGGGAGAACACAGTGAAAGTCTGGAAGGACGGCACCACTGAAGATGCCTTAATTGTTATAGAAAAGCCGTAAGAGCCATCAAACCCAATAAATTCCTGCTGGTAAAAATTATGTTCAGATGTTGCGCCTGACAGGGTTTAAGACAGAGCCACTCGGCCGGGCGCGGTGGCTCACGCCTGTCATCTTAGCACTTTGGGAGGCCGAGGCGGGTGGATCATGAGGTCCAGAGATCGAGAGCATCCTGGTCAACATGGTGAAACCCCGTCTCTACTAAAAAAATACAAAAAATTAGCTGGGCATGGTGGCGCGTGCCTGTAATCCCAGCTACTCAGGAGGCTGAGGCAGGAGAATTGCCTGAACCCAGGAGGCGGAGGTTGCGGTGAGCCGAGATCGCACCATTGCACTCCAGCCTGGGTAACAAGAGCAAAACTCTGTCTCAAAGAAAAAAAAAAAAAAAAAAAGGAAGACAGAGCCACTCAAGGAGATCATGAAAGATATTGCAGATATAGCAAAAACAAGGTGGGTGGGGGAAGGGTTTCTAGACATCACTCTTGGAGAAATTCACACCAGGCGCCTTGGTGGGGATGAGTGCTTCTGAACCAGTGCCAAATGCTGAGGAGAAAGACAGAAGAAACAGTTCCAGAAAAAAAAAAGAGCACTAGACAATCTCGCAGAAGGGTTCCGATTGTTGAAGCCTGCTTTGGCTTCTTTTTTCTGTTGAGATGGAGTCTCGCTTTCTTGCTCAGGCTGGAGTGCAGTGGCACGACCTCGGCTCACTGTAACACCACGCGTGTTCAAGCGTTTCTCCTGCCTCAGCCTCCTGAGTAGCTGGAATTAAAGGCACCCACCACCACATCCAGCTGATTTTTGTATTTTTAGTAGAGACGGGATTTCACCATGTTGGTCAGGCTGGTCTCGAACTCCACACCTCATGATCTGCCCTCCTCAGCCTCCCAAGGTGCTGGGATCACAGGCGTGAGCCACCGCGCCCGGCCTGCTCTGACTTCCTTTATGACATGGACTCTTCTATGATACAGGCACCGAAACTAAAGCAAACAGTGGAGGAAGGATTGGTGATAACAGAAACATTTTTAGAGAAATGGAGAAACAAAAAAGTCAGACAGAAACTACCATGTGTTTCCGTACAGTTACGCGGAAGGAGCCTGCCTCTCCCGCCTCCTACTTCAC